GAGAGAGAGAGAGAGAGAGAGAGAGAGAGAGAGAGAGAGAGAGAGAGAGAGAGAGAGAGAGAGAGAGAGAGAGAGAGAGAGAGAGAGCAAGGAAGCATTGCTCCTGTGTGCTGCCGACATTCCCTTACATGCCTTCATAATTCTTGCGTGTTTGCACACAGAGCAATGAGAACTGATTTGTTCCCAAGACTACGGGACGTTTTGGAAGTCAAGGGATGGATCAGTGTTAATTTGTTCCCAAGACTACGGGACGTTTTGGGCCTGGGCATAGCGGTAGTGCAGAATGGATGACAGGGGATTTATCTTCATCCTATACTTTTTAGTATATTTTACTGCGTGTTAATAATTTAGGGCTCTTTCCCACCTTTTTCTGTCATCTCCCTCTTTCTCCCTCTTTCTCCGTTTGTTGTGAATGTCAGTACAGACAAACAGTAATGGCATACTTGCACCAAATAATTTCGTTGAGGTATCTCACAGGTATTACATCCAGATTTATCCGAATTGTAAGTACACACATCATATCAAGATGTTGCCATCTCCAATATCACGCTGATGAAGTTGTTGTACTGATGGGATTTGATAAGATCATTATGCGTGTGTGATGTCCCTGCTCTATTCATATTGGATTCAGCACAAACCAAAATCAGCATGGATGATAAAGTGACCCTACACTCACACAAGTTTCAGTCTTGTGCAATTTTTCATTGTTGTGGGTATGTTTCCCGTGAGATTGTTGCCTGAGAGGTCCAGCTCTTCCAAATTCCCCAAAGACCCGATTTCAGGTGGTATGGCCCCTGATATACTTGTCCGCGACAGATTTCTGCAGCATGCTCATCATAACAACAATCAACAGCAAGCCCGTCAGTGAATGATTATGCCTTGTTTTCGGAAAGCAAGCTGATCAGAAACTTGATATGCCAGAGAAGCAGCTACCTCAGATGATCAGATCTCAATAAACATGCACTCTAATATCATTTTGGGATGCCTTGCCTTCTTCTACTTCTTCTTCTTATTATTCTTCTTCTTCTTCTTATTCTTCTTCTTCTTCTTATTATTATTATTATTATTATTATTATTATTATTATTATTATTATTATTATTATTCAGGTTGGAGTGTTTGGCCGGACCCGAAGGTCCGGAGCTACACATCAGACTGGGTGTTAGGGCTGTGTCTTGTCCCGCCATGCAGCTCGCCCCCCAAAACCTTAGCCTTGTTTGTGGACTCAGAAAGGGAAGCTGTTTGCCAGCTTTGCTTCGCGTCTTAAGGGTGTCTAACAGTCAAAACAATTGGTTTGGCAGAACCTTTGATGGTGAGTAGTTTATCTGGGGCGGACGCCTTATCTGGGGTGCTTACACAGTAATGTTAAAGGCAAATCTGGCTCGCGTTAAACACTCCACCTGGGGAGTGCCGTCGCAAGGCTGAAACTCAAAGGAATTGACGGGGGCCTGGAAAATTCATCCCAGTCTCCAGGAAAGTCAACAGTCGGGCTCTACCAGGTCCTGCAGTCCAAGAGTCGTAGATTTTTCCAAGAGTTAACCACGGCCAGTCTGGCACACAAATCCAAATGCTGAAAAACTGTCTCCAGATGTTTCGTGCGCCAACTGAGTCCACGCAAGCTCATACCGCTGTCAAATCCGGACTGCAATCAAAGACGTCCAAGGAGACCAGATAGAGGCAGATCATCCCAGTCCACGCAATACAGCACAGTCTGGCCCAGTTTCTGGCATATTCATCCTGGCACCTAGGGCTCGAGTGGCGTGCGATGTTCTCCAGTGCAGAAGGAACAGGCAGTGCCAGGACCGCACACACACACACACACAGCGCAGAGAGAGAGAGAGAGAGAGAGAGAGAGAGAGAGAGAGAGAGAGAGAGAGAGAGAGAGAGAGAGAGAGAGAGAGAGAGAGGAAGAGTCCCTGTTGAATGATCGAGTGATCTCTGTTGACGGGCGGGCCGACTGCCCATTGGCTGAACGAGCAGTTCCTGTTTATTGAATAATCAAATATACTCTCCCCCCGCATCTTTTTGTTTCCTTCTTGTTGGCTGGTCAAATTGTTCCAGGCGATTGGCAGATCAATCATACCATTGGCTATTGGAGGCTCGAACAATTTTTTTTGTGCATAGCCAGATCTAT